TAATTCCTTTAATTGCGTTCAATCTTTGTGCATTTATGCAACAGTTTCCCATCGAGAATTATTCTGTGAAATACAATGGCAATTAAAGTAATTAAAACGAAAAACGATAATCGACTCGGACAATCTTCAAAGCGTCAAAAGAAGCCGCTATAAAAGATATTCGACACGCCCAACCAAATGCACCAATATATGGCCACTTAAATTCACATTAATGAAATGTGAATTTTTTAATTTTTTAAATTTGTTACTAATAAATACTTTTTTTTATTCTTTTGTATTCTTTCACTATTGCAACTAATCTGTTCTTAAGCCAACAGACTTTAAATAGATTTGTCTTATCATAATAAATATCTACTACAATATTTTAACACATTTATCTGATTTCCCAGAAGCTCCGATTTATTGGGCAAATTAAGATATATATATCTTTAAGCACACGTGTCGAATGACTACTGCCTTACAACGCTTTTCTGGGAAATTTTTTTAATAATAAACAACTCTTTCTGCCCCAACTTTCCTTTCTCCCTCCATCTATTTTCTCCCCTTCTCACCAACCGACATTTAAAGTGGCAGCCATTTAAATGTAATTTGTCTCACATTGCAATGTAAAATGGAACAACGAAGTGTATTTATATCTGGAGGTTTGTCTCTGGCTCGTGGCCCACCTCGACTTGTGGGAGGGCTTGGGGATTCGGTGCAGAATTAACGATTTCCAGTGAACGAGCGAGTGTGCCAGACATTGTGGCGTCGACATCGGTTGCCATTGTTATTGCTCGTTAGTCGTCAAGTTCCCCATTTCGCTCCACACATTTCATCGATGTCTATGGCTATTCCCAGTGTATATGTCCACGGGTAATGCCGTTGTAATCACATCGATTAGTATGCGAGAGTAGAGCTGAGTTTTCCTTTAACCACTTCCTTATGGACTAGATTTGTGGTTATTACAGTTCATCAACTATCGGGGAAAAAAAATACAAGAAAGGAGGCAATGTTCGATAAGCTAGCTTAAGTTTATAAACCCTTGCCGCTAATAAAATAAATATGTTTAAAGACAATAAAGTTTTGTCAATTTCCCAAGCGATATAACTAAATATATATATATTTAATACAATTTTCTAAACCAAAACTGATGGATTTAGTGTATTGACCAAAAGCTTTTTTTCCTGTAAGGCTATATTAACATCGGCTTGTCGAAAATAGCTTACGTTTTTGTTTTGCATTTTTCAAGATTGATTGATTTAATCATAACCTTCTTCGAAATACACAAAACTCAGCGATTTAAATATTTATCAGATGACATGCCAAATTTTTAATCATTTCTTGTCATTCAAAGTGAATTTGTTAAGAGCAGAAATTCAATTTGATGGCCATTATTTTTAATTGGCCCTAAAAGATTTCAAAATATTTGCCATTTATACATGGGATATAAATTTGTCACGGCGATTAAAGCACATTCGATTTTCGAAAGAAATCCATGTATATGTATTGAAATACATGTATTTCAACTAACCACCTAGTACATAAAATAAAAATATTGCATAACATAACTGAACACAATTAAAAACGGACTCAATCAATGAACATTTTTCAGTAGGCCTAAATATAGATTTCTCAGTCACGATTATTGCATATAGGTAACCAGACAACAGACCGCATTTAATAAGTTAAATAAACATAAATATAACAAATGAAAATAAATAAATAACAACGACTCATCGAGTAGGCAATAATTTGAAATGACATGACAAGAAATACTTGTGGAAAAAAACCAATAAATAAATCGTTATACTTTGCAGACAAAGGTGGGCGGCGAAGAACGATCTTTGGAGGCAGCTGGGGAAAAGGGGAAGAATTCCTCTATACCAGGGGCCAAACAAAGCCATCGACCAGAAGAATAATAAGGGGAGAAATCTCCAAGCCAGACAGCAGAGTAAACAAGAAGAATCGCTTCAGGAAAGATCTCAGCCTCTTCTGGGCCAACTTACATTACTCTTGGCCATAAAAGACTCGCCTCTGGCCGGCACTTCATCACCCAGGCTGCTTAAACCATTTCCATAAGATAATTGTTTGTGTGCGCTCGTTTTTTTTTTCTGATTTTCCCTTACTTGAATATTATTTTTGGCATGTTTTGCGGCTTTTTTGGTTTGCCTTCTGCTTGCTTTTTGTTTTTCCCTCATTTTTTGGGATTTCTGTTTTGTTTTGCTTTTGTTGTCTGCTCTTTTTTTTTTTTTTTTTGGCCATTGTGTTTTGCTCGGCTGGCTGCAAGCATTTTGTGCCAAAAATAAATGCTGACATCATACCAACCAAACCAAACCATTCAGCCGCAGCCACACAAAAAATCGAGCTCACTTTTATTTATGGGGCAGGGGAAATGGGGGGGAGAGCATCCAGAAAGGAGGAGAATGGCAAAAACAAACACCACATTTCATTCGCTTCTCTTGAGTGAGATAAAACCAAAGTTGTTCAAGACGATGCCTAATTGAAATTCTAATTGGTCTGGGGAGTCGTCAGCAGCCCATCCCCTCCCCTCCCCCTCCCCCACCCGAAAATGTACTGAGAAAACTAAAGGAACACCCGGTTCCCCGGGATTGTTGACCTTGAACTTGAGTCGATTCGGTCTGCTCCCCAGCCAAACTTTCGGGTTGAGCGGCAACATCTTGCTTTTGTTTTCGACCAGAATATCATTTTCTGCGCTTTTTGAGTGCATTTGCACTGCATTTTTGGAAAGAGAATGCGATGTTTGAAAACGTTTTGATGGAACTGTACTTAAGTTGAGAAGGAAACGTGATTTTACCAGTTAAATCTGTTAAATTTTGGATATTTTTAAAAGGTTTAATAAATCTAGTGCGCTTAGACCAAGTTATATTGATTAATATCATATATATAAGGCTGTATATCTATTTATACTTTTCTAATTCAAAATACTCACTATTTTTACATAAGCCTACAATATCATAGATCTTTAGATGATTATTAAGGGTATTGGACTATTTTACTATTACTTTAATAAAACATAATTTGGATAAAACCACATGCGTTGTTAATCATTATATTACCGGCTGCTAAAATTAGATTTTACTAACTCATCAGAGTTATTTTTGTGTGGGAAATATCAGAATTCATTCTACATAGTTTCGAGTAAAAAAGTTTTCTGATTAATCATAACCGCTCCTTAAATAGCAGACATTAAGCGCAATCTTTGAACTTTACTTATGATTCAGATGTGAGTCACTGAAGGAAGTCATAACAATACTATTAAATAGTTTTCTAAATTGGTATGCTGATCTCCAATTGAAATAGAAACTCGACAACTGCGCCATTTGACATTTTTTTAAAGCAAATAACCATAAGGGCGGTATTTTTGACAACATTCATAGAGCTTTAGTGCGACATAAAAAGTAATTTATCAGGCGTTCGCAGCCCCCAAAAACATATGAACTTGTCTGTCATGGATACCTTATTTAGTGCGCCATTCCCCAACAAAGCCCCGCCTTTGTGGGACTCCATGTTTTTCGGGGTGGATGGGGAACTATCGGGAGACCCTTTTCACTTTTTGCGCAGTTCGCTGGCGATGAATTGCGTTGTGGCCGGACCACCACCTCAAAGGAATTGCTTTTTTATTGCTTATGAGCCAACAAATGCTAACGCATCATCATCATCATCATCGAGGAATAAATGCACGAAACACGAAGCAGAAATTACAAGAGAAGTCAAGTTTAGGAATGACATCATTCCAAGTCAAGTCAAGCCAAACCAAAACCGAAACCAAACCCAAGAAAAAATTCGCACAACTTTTAAATGCGTTGAATGTTGATTGAATAGTTTGTGGAGAGTGGCGGGGAGGGACGGAAGGAACTTCCTCCAGATTGGTTTTTTATAATTAAGCAAAAGGTGGAATAAAAACGAAGAAGCCTTGAGGGCCAAGACTGGATTATAAATTGCTTGGAACCACGAAAAGGATGCATTTTGCGATTGCCAAATGAATCACCTGCGAGATGACGCAACATGATTGGAAGTTGAAGGCAAACAGGATCCCGAGAATTCCTGATAGGCATCGTCTTAGGTTGCCTTTATAAAGGGAAAAAAGCTAAGAACCATTTAGTTGGTCTTAAAGATACGAAAATCATGGATAGTCTTAGTCCAGTTTAACAGAAAGAAATACAATTTTAGTTAAGTCTACAAAATGTCTTAAAATATTATAAAAATCATTTACCCATTTCGAACTTTTGGATTGTTATTAAAGAAATCATGCTTAAATTTTAAAATCCCACGGTAGAAGATCAATTCATGCCGAATTTATAATAATAAACTTAAAATTATTAAAAGGGATGTGATCAATTTAACTTTTTGTAATACATTTTTAAAGTTTTACATTAATGTCAAAAGTTGTAATATATTACAACATTAAATAATTTATCACCCATGTTATGATTTTATTAGTTTAGTGTTATTTTGGATTATTAAAATGTGCTGTTAGAATGTATTCTTTGAGTATTTTAGATAATTGGTTTAAAATTGTTAAATTAAACAATGATTTTTTTTAAATTATAATCAAGTATTGAAATCTGAAACTGTCAATTTACTTCATTCTTTGTCAATTTAAATTGTAATACTAAAAGATTAAATTACTTTTACACAAAATTCATGTATTATTGATAGTGCTATCATTTTGTATAACTATTTTAAAATCCCCAATTACAGTTTTCTGTCAGCGTAAAATTAAACTGTTAATAAGTTTTTCTTTTTGAATTACAATAATACGTACAGAGTCGCCATAGGTATTCGTGCAAAGGAATCACCGAAATACAACCCACAAAATAAACATAACCCAAATACACAGTAACATTCAGCGTGCAACACCACAAGCCAAGCGATTAGGAACACCAAACATTCAGGGGGAAGGGCACGAAAATAGGAAATCAAGCGACAAGTAGCAGACAGGGAAGACATTAGAGCCCACAACCGGAAAGGAAGAGTGATCGACATCGACCCACACCGACCTGTTGATCATGGTATCCGCTGCACCACCTGCACCACCGCAAGTGGCAGCTGCGGCCACGGCGGCGAAAACGGTGGCGCATTCTAGCGGCGACCGCGGCCTTCGATCGCCGGGCATGAAGGGCACTTGCAACCGCTGGAAGGCAGGATCGTAGCTAATGGATATGCGGGATGCGGATGTGGCATGCGGATGCGGATGCAGGCATCCTGGCATCCCGGTCGCCGTTTGAACTGGTGACGAAAGCAACGTGTCCGGCGAACTGGCGTAGAAGGGCGAATGCGGGTAGGCGTAAATCGAGGGACTGGCGCTGAAAGCAGCCGTCGCAGGTCCTCCTCCTCCTAATCCTAATCCTCCTCCTCCCACCAAACCAATCCCAGTCGCAATCCTCGGCTGCGAGTGATGGTGCTGCGAATGCGAAAGGGGATGCGGATTCGGATGCGGATTCAGATGCGGATGATGCTGAGGACTACTGCCGGCACTACTTGGAATCGGAATCGCCCGACTCGCCGCCGCCCTCGTGTACATCGTGGGCGAGAACTGGTCAATGGCCTCCTCGTAGTCCTCCTCCGTGCTGGAACCCATGTACAGATTCGTATCGCTGGCCGTTCCATTCGGATTGCTGGTGGGCCACAGGGACTCGTCCACGCAGAAGGAACTCCGCCCCGACTGCGACTTGTTGTAGTAGTAGAGTTGCGGGTTCAGTCGATGGACGAAGGTGGGATCGTTGGGGCCTCCTATGTGGGGATTGCTAAAGGCCCGCTTCCGACTTCCGCTGATTCTGGAGCTGGGGATTTGGGTGTTGGTGTTGGCAAAGCAAAAGGTCGCACGCGGTTCAAATAAAAATAAAAGGTTTAGAGGTATAAGAGAAATTGAAAGAAGCTTTAGATATATAGAATTCATTTAATTTGGAATTTTGAGTAGCTACGCCAATTGAAATAATAATTTATTTTTTGCAGTTCTTTGTGGGGTGGAAAGGGGGAGGGGGATTCGGTGCCGGGCAACAAAAGTCGATTCGGTGTTGCTGCAATGAGGTGATCGGGTTGCGATTCGAAAGTGAACTGTGTTCGGTGGCAAACAATCAGGTGAATTAATCTTATGGATTGATATAGCCAGATTAAATAACTTATTTGTTTTAAATTGAACTGAATTTGTTGCATGTATAAAGTGAGATTTTTGGCTTTGAATTTTATCAAAGGTTTTAACAGCCAATAAAGTTGATTTGAAATGTTTTCAATCATGATAGAAATTATGTTTAACAGAAAAAGTTGCGTGATTTATGTTACTTGGTTCAATTGTTTCTTATATTTTTCTGAATATGGCTGTCCTTTTTGCAAGTCAGACGTTTTCTTAGATATCTAACATAAACATTGAAAACTGCAAAACCTATAATTGCTTTAAAATATTCCACATTCATTTACAATTTACAGAATTCAACTAAACCAACTCTAAGCATCAGAAAAAAAAAAGAAAAATCCAAAAGAAATGCGACGACAACCAACAAGAGGAGCCAATTCAATTTCCACTTCATTTGCCAGCACAAAAGCAACAGGGAAAATTATGATGCAACATTTGCGGCAACGTGTCGATGCGCTCCAATTCTCAGCATAAACAACTTCCAACTGCCGAGGATGCAACATTGCAGCGGATGATGGATGTGGCATGCCACATGCAATTTCTGCGAGGAAAATGAAACTGACAAAAACTGAAATCGGGGGAAGTGCAGACATTTGTCAATTACGTTGGGGCAAATTAATCTCCTTAAATAGGGTAAAAACGAACATTTCCTTTTAGAAATTGTTTGATCTGCGACAGTCTGTCTACAACTTTGTTTTTCTTTGGGGGCGAAAAATGTATTTCCGTTAACGAAATGCATCATTTAAATGCAACTAGGCATGGATTAAAGATTTTTGCTTAAACTTGTCGAACTTTTAATAAAAAAGAAGAATAAAAGGTGGGGGTACAGAAGGATGACATTGTAAATTTTTTTTTCTGACGAAATGATTATAAAACTTTATTGTTTATACAAAACTTCTTTATCTTGTGTGATGTATACTTATATTTATTAACAATAAAATCTTTGCAGCTTATTCTATAAATTCCCCAATTGTTCCTATTTCAACTATATGAATTTTTCGATTTTTCTTCTAACTGCAATACACTAATGAGAAAGTTTTACAAAGATTTAAATCTGAGAGTCTTTCTTGTCTTACAAACTCACTAATAATATACAAATACATTTTGTAGAGGCTGATAGGTTTATTTCACAACGCTGAAAGCTTTCAGCTAGAATTATAAAACTGGGTAAAATAAATTTAACTTTTGACTGCAAAATCTTGTATGTGGATAACCACAAAAAAAAACAAAGTGCGAAAAAAAAAAGGGTAACAACACTCAAAAGGAAAGCCTGGGCTATACCAACAATAGCAAAAACAACTACTTTCAGCTGCAGTCCAACCACAATTTACTTTATTTTTGTTTTTGGATCACCCTCAGAAGTAAAATCAGGTTCATATGTATGTCTGTTGGTGCTTTTGCTTTGGGGCTTGTGGTTTTCAGTTTTTTTTTTTCTTTTTGACTGCAGTTTGGCTTTTACAACTCTGTACATTTGTATTTCCCTGCCACGATTTTAATTGTTAATTTTGAGTTTCAAGAAACTTTTTGATGTACCCCAAATTAAGAAACTAAACTTTTTAGAGGGCAAGTTTTTATTTCGGGCTGAGGAAACTACGGGGATCTATAAAAGTTGAACGAAGAAGAAGAAGGCAGTTAAATATTCCCAATGTTGCATTAAAAAATTTGATTATTTTTTGTCTGTAATAAAAACTTACAACTTCTGCGCGATTGTGTCGATTAATAAGATTTAAGACAGATTTTCTTGACAAAAAAAATATATATAAATGGGCAATCCTTTTCCGGTGATTCGAAATGTTTACTTCACTTTTTTCGCTCCCTCAATTATGATACTTTCCCCCTTTTTTCTTGAGTCATCCTCTTGAAAAACCCAGTGTCATTCTTGCAACTGGGTTGTCATCATCCTTTCCTTCCCCACTTTGTGCTTGCATAATATCAAAGTAGCAAAATTAGCATAAAATGAACAACACACGCAAAACAAAACAAAAAAAAAAAAAGAAAACGTCCCTATTGAAAACTATGGAAAATTGCGGCTGCACTGTTGTTGCTGCCACAAATTAAATGCACATTACATGCTGCATTTTCCCCCCGTACATTCCCATTCCCATTCCCATTTTCATTTACCATTGTGTTTTTCCGCTTTGTTGTTGTTTAGTATGTCGCCCCAAAGCCAACAAGGAAATAAAAGTTTTCGAAAAAATAGAGAAAACAAAGCACTTGTTGTTGTTGAAGAAAATTAGGTGAATGGAGCTGAGCCGAACAAAAAGTGCAGAGAGCGAGGGGGGAAATTCCAAAACGGGAGCCTCGAAAACTGCGATCAGAGATAAGCCAACACAAAATCGTTGAAAAGAAATTTGCAGTCAGTTCAAAGGAAAAATTCGGTGGATAAGGGGGTAAATTAATCGCTTCGCCGTTTTGTTTTTCCAGTTTATCTGCGAATTTTCATCGCCCGTTGCTGCTGTTTTCTGCTTTTGACCAATTTTACCCGCCAAGCTAAAATTTATTTGCGAATTGTCTTTCGTTCGTTTCTATTTACGTAATTTGATTTCCAATGCTGGCGGTTTTATTCGCCATTCGGCAGTTTGATTTGACAGCACAATTAGCTTGAAAGGACAGCAGAAAGGATTGCGTAAGCAATAGATAGAAAAAGTGGACAACACACCAGAAACTAAACTACAAGGGTGGCATCTAATATCCGCATGACAGTTTATTAGGAATTCCTGCGATTTAGTGATAATAAACTTTATTTGCTTTAAAGGATTAACTGGCCAGAGAAAAGAAACAGTATTTTAATTTCCTTTTTTACGTTAAGCTGGGCAACAAAAGTTTCCTTTTGCTCAACAAATAAATTGTCTATATTATAAATTTATTTTTGTTAATTTACAGATTTATAGGCCAAGAATTACATTTTAATTTATTCAAAGTATTATACGAATATTGATTAAAATATATAAGTGAATACTACTTTTTTACTACTTTTTCTTAACGTTAAATTTTAAAAAGAGTAAATCTTTAAGGAACAATAGAATTGCAAACAATTGTCATGCGAATATTCAAGGAAATAACTTCCGGTTAACAAAGTGCTTCTGAATGAAATTTATTTACAGGTTAGTTTTTCGATGCATGATTAAATTATTTAAATGCATTAAATGGTCAGACAAATACAGCGATATAAAAAGATAGATATAGAGAAAGTGTATGCATGTTGTTTTGATGGTTGAAAGGGACTAGGTGGAAATAGTACTTACATACACACAAAGGATGGTAAATCAAAAACATTTAAATTTCGTTTTGGTTTTAGTTGCTTACCTGAAAATAAAAGAAAAAAATGGTTAGAAAAGTTGTTTTAGTCAAAAATGTTCTTTATTATGTAATTATTAAAAAATGTGTTTTTATAGTCTAAATAGAAATTTATAAGGACCTTAAATCAACTTTAATGTAAGTAAAATTGGTTTAAATCGGTACAATGTGTTTACTGCTTTACACTCGTTTAAGCAGTTTTCACTGCTTATTCACTGTCAGTGTTGATTTATTCCGCCAGATGGCGCAGTGAACTGCTTGTCTTTGAATATTGTCAGAACTGTTTTATAGGTGGCGCCTTTAAACTGCTTTCAGCATTGACTGCTTTGATAGTTGTCAACTGCTTGAACATGCTTGGTTTCTAAAATATTTAGCAACGCACAATCCCACTCAAACTGTAAGAAAGCAGTTCAAACAGTTTCAATGTATGAAGGCAAATTCAAGCAGTGACGTAAAATATAGAGTAAGTTTGTGTAAAATGTAAAATAATATTTTAATAATTTATCAAAATATAAAGTTTAAAAGAAAAAAACAAGAAATCATAATTTATGGTAAAACAATAAATAAAATAAAAATTGTTTATTTGTAAAATCATTTAAGAAAAATAACAAACAACCATACATATTAAAATAAACACATAATAGCAGTTTAAGATATAGAGCGAAAATCCTACCAAATTTTTGGTAACAGAACATTTCAATCTGGTAAAATATTTAAAAAAATTAACAAAATAATTTCAAAATTGAAGTAAAATTATTAGTCAATCACACATAATTTTAATTTTTCAAAGGCCAATTATTTAGCCAAATTATGAGAGTGTAAGTAAATTTGAAGTAAAGCTGAGTATAATGTTAAATAGTGTAATTCTTATTATTTTTTTCCATTAAGAAGTTGAATTTTAAAAATAAAGCTAAAAACCCAAAACGCAATAAAAAGTGTGTTCACATGCGCCGCAAATTCGTTCGTTATTTTTTTTATTTTGCAAGAAAAATGGCAACAAATATAAACAAGGCGATAATTTGCAATGCACAAAAGCGATCAATAACAAAATTGGAAAGAGAGCAGCAGATGGAAAGAGAAGACGTGAATGAAATCAAAAAACAATAACAAAACAAAGCAGACGACGATAGAATGCATTTAGAAGACGCAGATAGAGAGAGAATTAGGCAATGAACGAGAGAAAAAACAAAACAAAATAATTCACGTGTGTAAAAGCCAAACGATGTAAGAGAGCGACTGAGAGGGAGAGCAAAAGAGAGAAGAACTTACTGATAAGCTTTTTCTCGGAGAATTGATTGACTTCAAATCTTTGTCGCATGTTTTGTTTTTGTTTTGCATTTTTGTTGTCCGTCT